GAAATCCACTCCCTGATATCGCCTCACTGTATACAGACAACCACGGACATCAATTCAACTGGGACAACCAACGTTCAAATATTAGACAGAGGAAACAACAAGAATGCTAGAGAATGTTTAGGAAGCTGCCTGGTATTCCAGTGAATCGTCAATCAATAGACACATCAACATAGACAAAATTTACCAATCGATAAGAAGGAAACCTCACACACAAAGAGTCAAAGTTCAGGTCAAGGAAACAATTAGTTTCAATACCAATACAAGTAGCCTAGAGGGTGTTAAAGAACACAAAAACAACCGAAGAGTCACGTTCAAGGTGACCAGGAGAGATGAATAATGAATTCGTGGAGAAATCCAACAGCTCACTCCAAAATGAATTATGCGCTGAAGATGTTACCTAGTAGGGCAATGAAAGCTTCGCAAATTAACTATCCAGTTCACAGAACACAACCACTTCAAAATCATCTACCTGAGCTTCAAATTTTCTCCATCGTATCTAAAGCTTATATTTTTTTCACACAGTCTTCTCCATGTCACTCTCAGATGTCTTACTCATCCTTTCCTAGTCAACTTCCACTCGAGAGCCAACGTGTTACGTGATGTTACTCACTGGTCTCTTCAGGGTTTGTTCAGTTCAAACCCATTTCCTCCTGCATATATTCTGTGAGCAAGGCTCTTGACTGATTTATTGCCAGAATTTCTTGTTACTAAACTTTTCTTGTCATCTAATCTCCAGGTGAAATTATTCTGGCCTCTATCTCAACAAAAGCAAAACTGACATCATTAAATGTTGTAATTCTAACAACATTTTTGGGTACCTCTTAATTTACGAAAGAAACGACAACCATTTCTTCTTCCCCTTCTCCTTCTTTTTCACTTTGGTTGATTGCGATATCTTCTAGTTGAAATGTTCTCCGAGCTTGGGTGCATTACAGACAGTTACTCTAATGAGACACCAGTTTCATCCTCAGTTTGACTTATTAGTTCATCATAAATGCTATTTGTAACCTTATGTGTTTATACAAGTCAACTTTAGTTGGTTGTAGACAGTTGGATTCTTTGTTTGGGTATACAATGACCTTGATTACTTTGTTGGAAAAAGATATCTTGATTGGCTGTGACCATGAACACTGTCCAATTTGTTTATAGTTTTATAAGATAAACATAGGAAACGTTTTTCCCGAGATTGATTCATTCCTGCTTCTGCAAACTCATAAGCCGACGAAGACTTTGAATTCAAGGATTTCCATTCGCTTTCCAGTTGCTGCAACTGCAGATACTTTTAAGAAAGCGAAGATAACACTTGGATGGTGTTATCAGAAGAAGTAGAATATGGGAAAAATGTGTGATGTAACTGCGCAATACATTTTGAACAATCTGATTAAACATCTATTTGTCGAATTAGTTTATGTGTGGCATCATAATCATAAATAATTCTTCAGCAATCAAATTCACTCTAGAATTAGAAGATGAGGCCGAAATTCCCTTTCTTGATGTGAAATTACCAATACGAACCAATGAGACCTTAAGAAAATCAGTCCATAAAAAACTTAATTAGAACAGCACCCGTTGAACGAAACATAAATGTAATTAAATCCCTTGCCACTCGGATCTGACATATCTGCAGTCCTGAAACCCTGGAAGCAGAACTAGATCTTCTGAAAGAAACGCTTATCCAAAATGAATACCCACTAAGATTCATCAACAAGAAAATCAGACCAAGAGTTAAGAGAAACAAAACATTTCTTGTTCCAAAAATGAAACTTTACATGAACCTGGATTTCAAAAGAGAATTAGGCTACGATATAGTTAAGAGAATAATTTCAGCATCTTTGAGAAGAATATTCTTCGCCAAGGGTAGCGTTCTTCAGTCGCCTATTGGTATGCAGAAGCCTCAAGGACAAGATCCCGCATCTGACCAATTCTGTGTGCATATATCAGTTAACCTGCTGCCGTGGAGCCAGGTACGTCAATCGTTCGACGAGCATCCTGTCCAAGAGGATTCAAGAACACTATCCAGCATGGTTGAGAAAAGGCAATAGTGGCTCTATAAGGAGTGCTACAATTGAACACCTGGTTAACACTGATCATTCCGTCTCAACAAACCTCTCCTGATTTAAAGTAATTTACAGAGTCAAGAATAACCTACCAAAAGCAATACGGTTTCGTCTTCTTTGTATCGCTGAAGCTCTGGCCATTCAAATAGAAAAGCTGGAGCTACGCATACGAAAGAGAATTACTCAACCACTTCTGCTGTCATGATAACAACTTTGTTGGTTTTTGATGACTTAATTTTGCTTGTTTGCCTGTTTCTTTAATTCCTTATAATTCTTGTATATTGATTTAGAACTCTTACGTAACTTCGTACTCTCTACTTTGTTCCTATGTGTATCCTGAGTATAACTCACTCATCAAACTATTCATATTATTGCGTAACTGCTTTTTAACACCTGTTTGTGACAACTCATCATCTTTGTTACTACCCTAATTTCGTAAACACCCAATTTTCTTGACTGAGCTTGTATTACGTAACTCCAAATATCAATCTTCACCTGTTTAGTTAAAATATCCATAACCAATCTTATTTTGTTTGAAAAACTTAATGTACACATACATGCAAAGTAACACATATGTTTATTTGCGATTGTACAGCTAAGAAAATGAATTCACCGCTGAAAAGAGACTCTTCGCTGATCTACGTGTTTTGTTTTCATTAATGCCTCGATGGGGATTATTCATAATTCCGACCACACACACGTAAAACTGATTCAATAACTAAATGTGTCATCAGATTTTTTGAAATGTGTTGCACAATTACATCACACATTTTTCAGATAATCTATGTCTTCTAATTACACTATCCAAACTTATTAAAGAGACTAGCTGTTTCAAAAAGGATATTTCTATTTTTATTTTCACAAATTTGATTTATTTCAGCTTACATGTTATTCTAATCTGCATGACTTATAGTAACTGAATTATTATTATTATTGTTCCTTTGGGTTCCTAGTGGAACATAGGGCTTCAACTACACGTCTCCACTTGCTTCTGTCTTCTGCTGTACTTTTCACCTGCATCCATGTTAGTCCATACTGTTTCAGTTCCTCTTCACACGATCTCCTCCATGTCACCCTTGGACGTCCCACTCGCCGCTTCCCTTTCGGGTTCCACTCGAGCACTGGCCTGACGCGCGATGTCACCCAACGGCCTCCTCAGCGAGTGTCCAATCCATCTCCACTTTCTCCTGCATATTTGTTGAGCGATTGGTTCTTGTTTTGTTTCTTCCCATAGTTTCTTGTTTGTGATTCTTTCCGGCCATCTGATCTTGAGTATAGAGCGAAGATGGTTGTTGATAAAGGTCTGCAACAGGCTGTTGGAAATATTCTTTGTGACCCGCCAAGTTTCTGATCCGTATAGAAGAACTGACTGACTTGACGTTTGTATTGAAAATCCGAATTTTGTTGTTGATGCTGAGTGAGTGACGAAGATTTCCAGATTGGTTTCAGGTTGATGAATGTGTTTCTCGCCTTCCCGATTCTCGATTGACATCCTCGTCCGTTCCTCCTGTAGTTGAGACAATGCTCCCTAGATAAGTGAATGAAGTAACCTCTTTCAAATCCCTCCCGTTGATGGTGATTGGCACTGGATGTTGCTGCTGCTGTTGTTGTTGTTGGCTGGTTATTTTCATAACCTCCGTCTTGTCTATGTTCACCTGGAGTCCTGTCTTCACCGGCTGCTTCTTCGACCAGTTTGTCGGTTTTCGCTTGTAAGTCTTCGATTTTGTGTGACATCAAACATAAATCATCCACGCGCGAAATCCAGGTCTTCTAGATTCTTCACGTTGGTCCAGGATATCCCTGTCTTCTCGTTTCCCACTGTCTGACGCATAATCCAGTCCACCACAATTAGGAATATCATTGGTGATAATAAGCACCCTTGTCTGACTCCTGTGTTTACTCCAAACGCCTCGCTGAGTTTTCCGTTGTGGATCACTTGACATGTGCCGTTGTCGTACAGCTGTTGAATAAGGTTGATGAATATTTGGGGTACGCCGTAGTACTCGAGTAGTTTCCAAATTACTTCGCGGTCAACGCTGTCGAAGGCCTTCTCAAAGTCTATAAAGTTGAGGTAGAATAGTCACTGAATAGGACAGTTCTATTAATTGCATAACTAAATAGTCTTAGATTATTGATCGTTCCTGAGTTCCTGATGTTTTTTTCAGCTTTTCGAGTACATTATCATGACAAGAACCACTTTCTTCAGTAATATAAATATCCAGAATCAGTTAACTGTACACATTTTCCACTTAGATGCTAAATAAAAGCTACAGGATTTCATCATGAGCTGACATCGGTTAGAGAACCATTGGAAAACCAGCACTGGAGTACTGGACAGTCAGCTGTTTTGTCCTAGTTTGGGACTCTTCGGCAGTAATGAAAAGTTTACTTCTACCTCTTCTCTGAATTTACAGTTAAGATAAAATTTAGTAATGTCACACATCTGAACATCTTAGTTCCATGGTTATTCCATTTCTCTGTCTTTAATATTCTTTCAATCAGGGAAATAAACCAGTTTCACTAATAATAACAACTTCCGGGTGTATTTAATTTTTCATTATTGAGAGAGATATCATCGAAAACCATAGAGTACTGGACAGTTGTTTCGCACTATCTTAGGACTCTTCAGTGGTGTCCTATCGTTACTCCCCCGAGAACTGAACCTATGACCTTTAGGTTATGAGACCAAGTTTGTTGGCCATTTAACCACTTGTGGTGGGATTCGTTGACCCGTAAATTCCAACTTTGTAAACTCTTGATATAGAGCTACCGTCAGACTACCTCAATGATCAGTCATTCCACTTTGACATTGTGTACTCCACTGGTTACAACTCTGCACTACAGCTTTAGGATATATCGACACAGCTAATAGAAATCATTGGATAAATATTTCATTCTTGAAGAGAAAGTGAAAAAAGAAAAAACAACTCACAACTTATTTACCTGCTTCAGGCATAGCGATTTGACCGATTGCTTCATGACCATAACCATTTTCAGTGACTGCAGCCACAGCAAATTCATAAACGACACCGAATACTAAAATAAAATTACAGAAAACATAGGGTTATTAGGGGGCAAGAGTAGCAGGCATAGCAACACTATAGTTACGTAGGCCCCTGTAAATGGAGCCAATAGACATCAAATTTAATGAAATCGTTATACTTACTGACTAATTTATCAGGCGAATAGCCTCTTTATGTCTAGTAGGACTACAGAAAACCATTCACAGTCATCTAAGCGAGCTATGAGAATGTGGTAGACTGGATTGTGCATCAGACTGTGAGGAGTAAGAAGAGAAGAATTCTCTGAACCAATAAGAAGACTTTAGAAGATTCGGCTTTCGCAGCTGATTTGTGTCTAATTTTACAGAAACTTGAAGACTTGCAGGCGAAAATCAACAAACTGCAAAAGAAGCAATGTCAATGAGGACAGGACTCCAGGTGGACATAGAGAAGACCGAGGTGATGAAGATAAACAACCAACCAACATAAACAACGAACAACATCAATCACCATCAATGGGAGAAATTTGAAAGAGGTTACTTCCTTCACTTATCTGGTTAGGAAGCTTCGTTTCAACTGTAGGCTGACGGAACGGATAAAGATGTACCTTCATCAATGTGAAATAAGTTTGTAGATCTTCTGCACTCATCATATACACTAAGATTCAGATTCTGTTCGACACAAATGTTATGTCAGTCACTTCTTCCATATGGGTCAGAAACTTGCTCTGTGCGTAAGTCACAAGAAAAAGCATTTCAAACGGCGAGTTACTGACTTTTAACAACAGCTGCCTTCGCTGGCTGCATACTGAAGACAAAATGCCTGGCTGGTCAGAAAGAATTAACAACAAGAAACTTTGGCGATGAACAAACCAACCAAGAGCCGACTGCTCAACATATATGTAGGATAAAATGTAGATGGATTGGGCATACACTGATGAGAAGGCCATCGAATGAAATCGCGTGCCAGGCCTTCAAGTGGAATCCAAATGTGAATTGGTGACTGAGTTGTCAGAACAAGGGTGATACGGATGAGGCCTTTGTGTTGGGGAGGAGGAGATGAGAGAATGTGGACAGTGGTGGACCTAGCCAGCTTACGAAGACGGGAGAAAACAGAAGAAAGTAGAGAAGTGTTGTTGAAGCCGTATGCTCCACTCGGAACCCAAAAGAATAATAATAATAGTAAAATAGCGAGAATGGTATAATTCGCGCTCATACCGTGTATGTAGCTTCTGTGAGGATTTTGTCAAACAGAAAACATAGCCGTTTTAGGGCTTAAAGAATATGTGAAAAACGCAATTCCTCCCTAATGCATAAACACAAAGTTAAACTTTAATTGAATTTTAGATTTTCCCGTTGATTGATTGAACCGAAGTGCTCGGTCTCAGGTTGACATGTCGGCTTCTTCTTCTAATAATAATAAATAATTAATATGACCCGTTGCACAAGAGATGGCTATCGTGGCCAAAGTGGTCTAGTGGATAACGCTTTGGCGTTTGAAACTATGGGCAATGGGTTCGATCCTCAACATTAATATCAGCTGGGTGATCGTAAATTAGCTAATGAATTATCCGTGTTATCAGTAAACTGTTTTGAAAAGGATTTCTAGTAATAAGGTGGCCACATATAAAATAATTTAACACAACATTCGTCTAAATTCCTACTCACACAAGGATTATTTTGTTACTCTAATAATGTATCATTTATCCTCATTTCAGGAGAGCCTAAAGAGGGGCTATGTCAAATATTCAATCGTTTTTATTAAGGAAACTGAGTATAGAAGTGTAGTCGTATTGCATAGTTGGAGGCAATCGGTAGGAAGCCCTACCCAACCTAGGTTGCGTGCTCATCGCCACTCATCAACATGACGTGTCTGAAACTGTTAACGGGATTCGAACCTGCATCATCCAGTGCTACAGTCAGTTAGAGACCTTACCACTTGGCTATTCTGGCTCATTAGTGATTAGGAGGTTGACAGTTGCCAACTAGCACGCTACCTAGGTCCAAGCTTTTCTGCCGATCACCTCTAACCAACTAATAATAACACTTCAGAGTGCACCGTGATGGGAAGCCACCCACTACAGTGGCTATATTGGATACTCCACTGACAGAATTCAGTGTGTACCAAACAAAGGACTAGGCACATGACACTAGTCACTACCCAGTGTCCAATCAAAGAGCCATGTAGGATAAAGCGCTTTAAAAAGTAAAAAATAGCTGTCTTCATCCTACATGGCTAATGTATGCAAATATTTTTATTCAGAGTTTTTTAATGCACTAAAACCATATACGACAACAGAGTTTTCAACACATTGCTGAAACATTTTAGCCTGAGCTGTAGATATTCGCCTATAAATTACATCATTCATCCAGACTGACCAAATTATTTTATGTTATTTTGTGTGCAGAAAATTACTCAACAGATGCCAGACTTCGAACTGGATAAGTGGAGCTCTGCAGTGATTGATTAAACATAGGTTATTGCAGATATTTACAATCCTTCCAAGAGGATAAACCCTTATCATCTGACAACTCTATGGAAAGAAGTATGAGTTGAGGGACAACAGCTTAGAATAATATAAAGAAAACAACGTGTTAAACTAAATCCTTCCAAATGTCAAACTGTTAATTTCAGTTTCTGATGTAAAAGAAGGTTAGATGACGAAGCCGTGAATTCCCATGACCACTGCAAAATTGAAGATATTGATAAAGGAATTAAGTATGAAATTGAGTATCTTGGACCAATTCTTTCTTGTGATGTATCCTGGTCTTCCCATGCCTTAGCTATTTAAAAAAATATTTTGTCTGACATTTTACATTAAGAAGTTAAGGCACTCTGGTATAACTCAACCCCTCCTCCTTTTCTTACAGCATGTCAACTCTTGCGGCTTACCTACACTTCTTTATTCTTCACCCTTATTTTTTCACCGGTTGCTTAGAAAGGAGTGTGTCATACTTCGTAGAACTCTGAAGACTGTCACTAGGGCAAGTGGTAACCCATTTAGCCATATTGTTGACATCGGTATTAACAGGCACTTGATTTTATGCAACAAATTCGCTAAAGGGATTTAGCTAGGCTGTGAACGTCTCTTTTACCCTCAGCTTTCACCTTGCTGCATCTCTTCAGGTAAAATAAGAAGTCATTTCAAAAGATTATATGCTCGCGCACGTCTAAGTATAAAAATTCCATGATACTACATTTAGCATGCATTTTATTTGATGAAAATAGTGTCAGGCACGAACTAACTAACTACCTAACCTTCTTGTCACTAGTGTATAAACAATTTTCGCCATCCTTATACCAACAAGTTTTACTGTTATTATTCTTCTTCTTATGTTTATTATCCTCTCAGTTTTTTCTTTATTTTCTCATAAGCTCTGTCACAACTGTTATTTTTTTGTTTTTCCCCTCATCATGTTATGTCAAGAGAATGTTAGATTCAATACTCTATAACATGCTTAAAATTTCCATAGTGTATCGATAATATTGTTTGAAACAAGCCCACTGATGTTATTATTATAGTTATTATTCCCATTTTATACTTTGCACATTTTTGGCATTATTCCTACAGTCAATGTGGAAAAGTTCCTGTGGTTAATTTTATTTATGATGTTTTGAGTAAATTAGACACAATATTGTGATAAATGCTGAGAATCCCATGCTGTATTATAAGTACTGTCTGTTTTGGAATAAAGCAGATTATTATTATGACTGACCGAAAAATTGCGGGCTTCACCTAAGTACTTTCATTTTAAGCAGTTATATAAATCAAATTAATTAGAGATTTAGTTTCATTTGACAAATATGTATTTCAAAACCATACATATAATTTTTGACAAATTTACCTGAGCTGACATCAGTTAGAGAACCATTGGAAAACCTGGGAGTACTGGACAGCTGTTTCGTTGAAGAAGACATTGTGAAGTGGTCGCGCTATGTCATGAATTGGGAGAAGTTAGAATTCATGGGCTGGCCATTGGATCGGGTCCCAGTGGTTCAATGGTCTACGAGCTTGCGTTGTAACCAGAAGGTCCTGGGTTCGAACCCCAGTAGGCGCATACTGCTGTCCAGTACTCCCTGTTGGTTTTCCAATGGTTCTATAACCGATGTCAGCTCATGATGAAATCCTCCAACCAATCAAACTAATCTACGAAAACTAATACTTGAAAATTACCTGAGGCTAACTAACGACATAAATTATTTGTATACCTAGTAAAATCTAAAGCAGGCTTTGTGCTTGCAAATTACTTTTAAAGCAGCAATATTTCTAACTACCTTGGATCAGTAGTCTGCAGTTTCTCATTTATCGCAGTGAATAAAGCAAGAACAGCAGTAGTGGTTTGTGCAGAATACGAAGATGGTACCCTCAATGTTTAACATTCGTTGGCTTCTCATCATCTGCTTGCAGATTGAAGACACTTTTATTAAGTATATCTACAGAAACAATTTTAATACTTACCTACACAGAGTTCATTTTTAAACAAAAATCAATCAATATATGCATATAATACTAATAATAATCACTTTATCCCAAACAATAATAATCATACAGAATGCAATTTTTCGGCGTTACGTGATCAAATGAAAGAGAGGATGAAAACATCCAGTTACCAGGTGGTGGGCAAGGAAAGACTGGTAACCGCTTCTTTCTGAACGCATAAATCGGGTTTCAGTCGCTTGATGGAGATTAATTTCGAAAACCTGAGGAGAATTGAACTCATTTGCCTATTGATACTTTTGAACAATTTTGTGACGTCCACCTCATCACCCGTGTCAAGGATATGCCTGGCGATGGCACTGTTTAAAGCATTTGTTCCCCTTTGGAAATAGGCCTTTTGGTACACATGTTCAGAAAATCTGAGGTATGCCAATCTTTCTGTTCTTCCAATGTAACTGCTTCTGCAGATACTTGGAAATTTCTTTGCATAGTTAGAGTTAACATGATAAGGGTATCTATCGAATTTTGATTGCATCAAAGATGAGCATATTGTCCGATAGATGAGAACCAACTTAGCTGTAGAATAGGATGTGTTT